TAAATAAAACTATTAAAAAAAGAATTAATAGAATTTATTAGAGCCTTCCTTACAACTAAGAATTAGTTTTAAAGAGATATTTATTAGAGCCTTCCTCATAACAAAGATGGCTTTAGACAAGAATATACATAATAAAAAGAGACAAAAAAAATAAATAAAATAATTGTCTATTTAGGCTTGAAGATAGGAATTCTCTTAGTGTATTTTTTTACCTGAACTTATAAATTGCATAATTTCAGAAATTTCCAATTAATCATTTCAGAGATTTAAAAATATCAAAAAATAACAGAATAAATTGTCAAAAGAAAAGAAGAAAATAAAAATAAGAGTTAGCTAAAAGAGGTTTATTTTTAGTTTTAGAAATTTGTTACAGAAATTTATTACAGAAATATTTAGGCATAAGACAAAATTTCATCTTATGCTTCACTATATTTTAAAAGTGAATTCTTCTACATTAACAAAATTTGATAATAAGAAAAAACATCAAAAACCAAAATCAAATAAATAAACATGTGTTAGAAATGGCAAATTCAAATTTGGAAATCTTAAAACCAGTCAGAAAGCCACAGTCTGTATGTAAGTATGTATCAGATAAGTAATAGTCTGCATTTCTAGGATGAAGAGTTATTATTATTTACACTATTTACATTCAGACTGTTGTCCTCATTGTTGTTGTTGTTGTTGTTATTACAAAATTTTGGCTGTTATGCCTTTTAGCTTTCATCAGGTGTATATCAATCCAGGTAACCTATAGAGAGTTCCAAACTGAACTGTTTATCTGTAAACTGTTCTTGTTCCAATGCACATATCCACCAGGGATATCTTACCCTGTTTCCATTGAGAACAAGTACACACTGCCTAGCACAGAGATTGAACTCACAATTACTATGTCATCCAATCCACAAAACAACATTTTAATCCACTAGGTCATTATCCCATAGGATGGGAAACAGGTAGAGCAATAATTGAGTAGTACTAAAAATAAGAGCTAAATGAAATATCCTTAGACATGGGTAGCGGAACAAGAACAATCCTTGGACAGGAAATCCATACTTAGACTTAGTGAAAACGTGGAGAGCAATAATCGAACAGTACTAAAAATAAATAGACCAGATATCTCTAGATATGGGCAGTGGAATGAGAACAGTCTACCCCCACAGATTAAATAAAGGGTTCAATTCAGAATTCCCTGTAGATTACCCAGATCAATATACACCTGATGAAGGCCAGAGGGTACAATGGCTGAAATTGAAACTGATGTAATTCTTTAGCCCCTGCACCATAAGAATGTCTGAAAGGATAATTAGAACCTTGCTGGGTTGTGAAGCTCTTTGTGACCAAGTGGTCTAAAGCATGTCTAATCTGACATGATGCTGGTTTCTCCTACAAAAGGAGACACAAGATTGAACCCTGCCAGTGAGCACATTATCTTTATTAAGTTTCTTGAGCCTACACACATTATGAACCTTCTATTTCACCTTGAATATAAAATAATTAGGATATTGGAAGAGCTTAAAAGTATTTTCAATGTATTTCTGTTTTTCATTTAAATATTGAGCACTACAAATATCAAGTGCTCTTAAATAGAATGTGATAATTATTCTGGATTTTATTTTGATGTTATGGTGGGAATAAAAATTTATGAGATCATTTTTATAAGTTGATTTGTAATGTGCACTTAGTTTTAGGTTATTGTCAGTATAGTGTAACATAATATCTAGGAAAGATAAAGTATAATTTGCTTCTGTTTTGTAAGCGATTTTTATCATATGTTCAACTATGTTTAGTCTATCTACAAGGTCAGATCTGATTAAGTAGTTTTGCAGGAATATATTAATAGAGCATCATCAATATATTAGAAACATGTTGATTGTTTAGTTAAAATACTCTGGAAGGGATCAGATTCAAGAAACTCTATGAAAATACAAGTTAAAATCCCACTCAGAGGTGAAGCCATTGGTAATCCAAATTTTTGTTTGTAAAAAGTATTGTTAAAGGTGAAATAGCATTGATTAGTGATCAGCTGGCAGATTTTTACAATTTTAGCTATTGGTAGGGAGAGGTTTATTTTTGATTGTATTTGATACTTTTTAAAATATTGAAGCATCTGGTATATATATATATAGAGAGAGAGAAAGAGACAGAGAAAGAAAGAGTGAGAGAGGGTGAGAAAGAGAGAGAAGGGTCATTTCTTATTTTGAAAATTTAAGTTATTCATGAGATAAAATATTACTGATTATTATTTCATGAATCATTCAGACTAGTATCCTTATTTCAATTATTTTAGTCAACACTCTCAGGCTATCTTCAGGTATGTGATTACAGGGTGTTCCAGAAGTCTTGGGCACATTTCAAGTCCTCACATCTGCTGAACTATGAATGGTAGTAAGATGAAACTGGTACCATTTCAAAGCTAAATTCATTAAGTTTTTTGTAATGCTAATGATTTTTTTCATATTTTTTCAGATCCAGTAATGGAGTTCACTCAACCAGAAAAGGCGTTTTGCGTCCTTGAATTTGCAAAAACTGAATCATGGACACTTGTTCAACATGCATTTTGCCCAAAATTCTGAAAAGAGGCACCAGAAAGGAAGTCCATATTGAGAATGCATGGTAAATTCATGAAGGATGGGTGTTTGTGCCCAGCTAAGAGAACAGAACACCATTGCAACCATTGACAACACAATGCTGGAATGCATTTGGCATGAATTGGACTATCGGCTTTATGTGGGCCATGAGACCAACAGTGCTCACATTGAACATCTTTGAGCATTCCATGTAAAACTTGAGATTAAATTCTTTCAGAATATGTCAGGTGCGTTTTTATATCCTTAATAGTTTTTGAGATATTCAATGTCAAAATGTATCCAAGACTTTTGAAACACCCTGTATTATTCCATGAATCATTCAGACTAGTATCCTTATTTCAATTATTTTAGTCAACACATTTCAGTCAATGTACTCTCAGGCCTTCTTCTGGTATGTGATTATTTAATAAACAGAGCTTAGTCTACTACAAAGCCACATATTTGTAACACCAGGTGAGACAAAGTCACTGCAGTAGTAATGGTCTTTACTAAGGTAGTTTGTTATTGAAACAACTGTGAAATACTCAGATGACAGTATCTAGTGTTCATTAAGGCTAAGTGTTCATGCACTTTAAATATAAATAATAGTTTAAAGTAATGAAATTACAGTGACTGTTAATTTTAATCCAGCTAAATCTGATTAAGTCAAAGACTAATTAGGATGAAAGTAATTAAGGTCTAGGGATTAAATGTTTGTTTTAAATATCTAAATCCGGGATCAGTGATATTTATCTTTGCATTTAAATCTGTCTCAAGATGATGCTCTGGAAATAATTGGAGATCTAAATTTTCATGTGTCTAGGAATTAATTTACATATATATAATCAGGTGACATTTAAACTATCAACTGCAAAGGCCTCTTGATTGGGTTTTCATCACAACAGATAGGTAGGAGATGTGATAGGCAACAATAAACTACAGAAGAAGTCAAAATTGATCACTGCATTTAAGCATTGCGTTAATATTGAAGCTTACCTTTTAAAAGTTCAACAATAATTCTTCTGCCGCCACTTAATTTAAAGACAATTTTATGTACATAGGTCCTTAATTTTTGTACAAACAATTATTTTTATTTCATGGGTGACTTTTGCTAGATTTCACAATTAATTTCAATTATTTATAAATTTATAAAAATTGTTATCTTACAAAAAATCAATCACAAAAGATCCCATAAAAAAAAAAAAATCGCTGAAACAATCACAGTAATGAAAACTTGGAAATCCAAAATTTTAGGATTGCATGTCCAGATCCAGGCCGGAATGATTTTAGTTTGCTTATGGAGTCAGTCTGATGATATATTTGGGCTATGCCCTCTAGGAGTAAAGTTGAAAAAGTGTGACACAATGAGACACTGACATTTGCATTTATTATAATAGATGGTTTATCTTCTTTTATATGTTATGTCCTTTCAGTACTGGGATGATCATGGCTCTTCCTAACTTCCTGTGCCTTATAGCTCTAAGCAACATTATAGTTTATGAAGAAGAAAATTAGACCTCTAAACTATACCTCTTGAAGACCCATCCAAAAATTATTAAATAAATAAGATCCTTCCACCTTTTACATTTATTGTGGATATGTCTTGGAAAAAGTGACATTAATATTGTAAGATTTGTTTTTTTGAGTCATTGAGATTTTTATGTCTTCAGTGAAAGAATAATTATAAGCTATATTCAGAACACACACACACAGAGGTTGAATATCCTTTATCTGAAATTCCAAAATATGAAAATCTTCAAAATCCAAAAGTTTTTCAGTTGCTGATATGATGTGCCACAAATGGAAAATTCTAGAAAGCACTGGGAAGGTTCCTAGGTGATGTGCAGCTGTTGTAAATGACCTCATCTGCCCTGGTCGGGGCATCCTCAGCAAAGATATCTAGCCTATGTTGGTGTCAGTTTTTTGTTAGCGATCGTCACAGCAACATCTTCGTTCGTGGATTACTTACCAGATGTTTTGTGCTCAGTAAAGATATTATTCAAAATGTCAAAAAGACCTGCATTTTTATATTTTTTGTAAGTAGTGATCACTTTTTTTTTGTACTCGTACAGGAAGTACAAACATTATTTTTATGCCAGATATTAATTTCATCACTTAAAAATACATGTGAGCATTACATGACTAGCGTCAATACCTGTATCTTTATAAACACTAAATTTATTAAAATTTATATAAAACTACCTTCAGGGTATATATGTATAAGCTGTTTTATAAAATGTAAAGGGATATCGTCTTTATGCCATTTTTATAGATGCTATATGCAAATTAAATAGTTTGTACTCCAAAATAATAATAAAAAAAAATCTGAAAACTGAAGCACTTCTGGTTTCAAGAATTTTTGTAAAAAGTATTCTCAACCTCTCTATATATATATAAATTGTTTACAGGTAGCACAATGAGTTTTGTTTTATACTAGTTTCTTAGGTGAAGGGAAAATAGAGACAAGGAGGAAAAGAAAGTGAGTAGAGAGAGAAAAAGAGAAAGTGACAAAGGGAAAAGGGAGTGAGAGAAAAAATATGAAAGAGAGAAAAGAAAAAAGGGAAGAAACTGAAAGAAAAGGAAATCAAGAGGAAAAGAGGAAAAAGAGAAAGGGAAGGTGAGAAAAAGAGGAGAGAAAAATAAGAAAAAGAAAAAGGAAAAAAGAAGCTGAAAGAAAGAGAAATCAAGAGAGAGAGAGAGAAAGAAAGTAGAAAAAGAGATAAAAAGGAAAGAGAGAAAATTAAAAGAGAGAGAGAAAAAGGAAGAGAAGCTGAAATAAAGAGAAAGGGAAGGTGATAAAAAGAGTAGAGAAAAATAAGAAAGAGAAAAAGGAAAAGAGAAGAAGCTGAAAGAAAGAGAAATCAAGAGAGAGAGAGAGAAAGCAGAAAAGGAGATAAAAAGGAAAGAGAGAAAATTAAAAGAGAGAGAAAAAAGGAAGAGAAGCTGAAATAAAAATAAATCAAGAGAGAGAATGGGAAAAGAAGACAAAGAGAAGGTAAAAAAAGAGAGAAAAAGGAAAAAAGAAGAAACTGAAAGAAAAAGAAATCAAAAGGGAGAGATAAAGAAGTGGAAAAAGAGAAAGAGAAAAAAGAAGAAAGAAAATAAATGAAAAGATAAAAAGTGAAGAAGTTGAAAGAAAAGGAAATAGAGAGAGAGAGAAAAGAAAGGGAGAGAAGAAAAAGACAAAGAGAAGAATCTGAAAGAAAAAGAAATATATAGAGAGAAAGAGAAAAGATGAAAAGTGAAAGGGTGAGAGAAAAAGGGAATAAAAAAAGAAAGCAAGAAAAATGTGAATAAAATATTTAATCCATTTATTTTTCTGGTGCTGTTAAATTCTGTGAAACTTCTAATGATGTAATTTATATAATATTTAAATTTAAAATGTAGCATTCCTCAAAATGCCAGTATGCAACTAGCAAAACCTTTGATTATGGAACTGGCAAAATTTACTTTGTGATAATGACTTAGGTGATTGAAAAAACTCAAACAAACCTATTTTCCTTTTGCCTTTATTCATGTGAACAGAACAAGATAGATAGATAGATAGATAGATAGATAGATAGATAGATAGAGAATGAACAAACTGAAATAGATAGATAGAGAGATAGAGAATGAACAGACAGAAATAGATAGATAGACAGATAGATATGAACAGACTGTAATAGATAGATAGATCGATGGAAAGGAGTGAAATAAGTAAGAGAGAGTATCTTTGTAAAAAAGTAAATGACAGAATTGGAGAATACATCTTATTTTTCCAACTGATTCCATTAAGATAAAAAAAATCATATTTTTATTTGCCAGGAAAATTCCATTCTTTGGGAGGTAGTTCTTGCTAAGTAGGGTTACCTATCAACACACAACATACATAAGTGCAGATGTATACATTAATTCAGGTTAAATATACACAAATGTTCCCATGAAAATAATAAGTATAAACAGAATACATAAAAGAAACCAGAGTGAAAATATTTTTATCTATATGGCATGTTGTTTATTAAAAGTAGCACCTGTCATCTACTCAGATGTAAGCATATATTACCTCTTCATAGATATAAAATTTATACATTAACTTGGAGTTTCTCAGAGCTGTATAACATGAAAGAATGTTACAAAAGTTAGAATTAAATGTAGAGAATTGTGCTAATCAGATTTTATGGATATTAGTGATCAAAACAAAAAGATGAGGATATTAGTCCAAATAATTCAAAGAATAATGATAATTCTTCATTTGAGAACACTGGAGAAGTCTCGGAAAGTCAGTGAGGACATTGGTTGAAATGTAATGATGAAAATAAGCGAAAATGAGGATTTTTGTTTGGTTATAATATTCCTATATTCTCATATTCAGTTAGCATTCCAGTATTCCAATATTAATATGCTATTCCTCTGATAATATACATGCAAAACAGACAGGAGAAACAGTCTTCAAATATCAGATTCTCAGCAAAGCTGTATTTATAAGATTAGATGAAATAAAATAACTTTTTGAAATGGGATAAGGTTTCTACAAATCATTTAAGACCAAAATATCTTTCCTCTTTGAAATTTTAATGTCTTTTGCTTCTCTCTTAGTACTGAAAACTACATGGCACAAGAACTTGGTCTTTGGGTTTTTTTTTTAAAAGTGAAAGCACACAAACAACTCTTTAGATGTTAATCATGAAAGTGCACTTAACAAAAGAAAAGGGCAAATATTACAATCAAGTAAACAATAATAAAAGAGTGATTGAATTTGAAGGAATAAATATAAGTAAATAAGTATGTATAAACAGGTTCTTGTAGGGAAAACAAATGGATGCAGAAATGTACTTATCTAATCAGGCAAAAAAAAAACAACAAATATAAAAAAAATCACTTTAAGTGATATTGCTAAAGATTGCTGCAGTTTCTTTGTAATCAAAAACATAGCATAAAGTTTAAAAGGAAGCTATTTTAAATGAAGTTCTTTAACAAAATATTACTATATTCATTATTAGTTTTCAGACCAATATCCTCATCTTTGTTATTTTTAGCATTGATTCATTTGTTTTTAGGCCAACCTAATATTAGCCAAAGATCAGCAATTAAATATTTTTGTTATTATATAATTAGTACCTTTATCTTTGCTGTTTTTAGCAAAGTATTGCAGCCAATTTATCTTTTTAGTCTTTCTCAGGCATAACTCTATGTGATAGCCTAGTATTTTAACTTTTTCATCTGCTTTAGTAAGTAAAAAAATAAAAAATGACATTAATTTTTAAGTATGGTATTTTTAATATGGAACAATATTTTTAAAATTAAAGGCCAAATAATTTTGGTTTTCTGAATTGAAATAATAAAAATACAGATTAAAAACAATGGTTAAAAATAGTAATTTACCTATCAGATTAACTCAATTACAACTAATTGGCTTTGTGGTTGAAATAGTTGCATATTTTTCACTGCTTCTTATGGTCAGTGTTGAAAAAGATAAAAACCAGAATATTAAATGCTGCGTTTTAAGGTAGGCAGATTTCTATCCAAGTCAGTTTCATTCCATTTTTCAGACCAAACCACCATCACAGTGATGTGGTTTCTCTTATCTGGTACAGTTCTTTAGTTGTGATTCTACAGTGCCAGTCCACAAGGTTCAAAGAAGGATGATCTTTGCCAAGACACTCAGTCTTCATTATATTCTCTTTGAGTTACATGTGCTATCCATTTTAGTTGTTGCTGCTGTTGAAAGTCCTCAAGTGATGTGGTTTCTCTTATCTGGTACAGTTCTTTAGTTGTGATTCTACAGTGCCAGTCCACAAGGTTCAAAGAAGGATGATCTTTGCCAAGACACTCAGGCTTCATTATTTTCTCTTTCAGTTACATGTGCTATCCATTTTAGTTGTTGCTGTTGTTGAAAGTCCTCAAGTGATGTGGTTTCTCTTATCTGGTACAGTTCTTTGTTTGTGATCCTGTAGCACCAGTCCACAAGGTTCAAAGAAGGAAGATCTGTGTCAAGAACAACAGGCTTCATTATTTTCTCTTTCAGTTACATGTGATATCCATTTTAGTTGTTGCTGCTGTTGAAAGTTCTCAAGTGATTTTATCTGGTTCACTTCTTTGTTTGTGATTCTGTAATGCCAGTTCACAATATCCAAAGAAGGATGATCCTTACCAAGACCCTCAGATTTGACTCGCCCAAAGCCTTTTTTCACCATTGATCTTAGAAAGCAGTTGTATACAGCTGACAGTTTAGATATTTCAGAATGGGTTTAGTGCCATGCATGGCATCCATATGAAAGTCATGATCTGACAAGGTTATTTAAGAACATGACATATTCAGGTTAATGTTTTTGGTTTAGTAGCAATTTGCAGTGTTGAGTGAAACTACCTCTAACACATCCTATTTTATGTTCAATTTCCTTTTCTCCTGTACTAAATTTGTTATAACTTATCTATATGCCGAGGTATTAGAACATATTTAATACTAGCATTAACAAAAAGGACTTGTTACTGAAATGGATTTAAGTTTTTCTCCTAAGAAAACAACTTTTTTTTTGTGTCATAGTCATAAAAACAAATGAAGGTATATCTATCTATATTTCTGAGATGAGTTATTGTAATTATTTACACTATTTACATTGTTTGGACTGTTGTCCTCATATTTGTTGCCATATTCATGACGTTTAGGCGGTTGTATGCTCTGGCCTTCTTCAGGTGCTTAGAATTTCTCAAAGACTCATAGTCCAGTAGATAAAAGCATTGGTTGAATCCAGTGACTTGACCTAAAGAGTTGTTGTTCAATACCTGGCTACAAAAGAGGTGAACAAAAAGTTGGAGAGTTGAGTTAAAAGGGAGATAACTGATACTGAGATATCCAGAAGAGGTATGGCACGTGGAACTAGAGAAATATACCCTGGTAAATGAAATATAGGGTTCAGGTCAAAATTCCAATAACCTGAAGAAGGCTGAAGCTTATAACAGTTGAAACATCTGGAATATAGCAACAAAGATTAAGACAACAGTCTGAACAATGTAAATGAAGGTATTTGTATAAATTCTTTAGACCTACTGATTTTAGGAGTTTATAAACACTAAACACATTTAATATTTAGGCTGTAAAACTTGATCAAGGTTTTTTCTTATGATTATGAATTAAAAAGATCTTAACTAATTAAGAAACCATTTCATAACAGAAATCAATAATTTGAACAAAAATCATTTAATAGATTAAGACAGATATATTAAATTTTTTGGTTAATATTATGACTTTAAAAAATAACTTGAATTTCCCTAAAGGAATTATAAGTACCATTTTTATTCAGTTTAGTTTGATATGAATTAAAGAGTGTGGGACGATTGTGTTTTTTTTAATAATTTCACCCCAATTAAGGCAATAATGCCACTATAACACAAGGAGTTACTGGGAGTGAAACAGTGAGAAGACTTTAGTGGGAAGAAAGGACAATAAAAGAACAGAATCAGGAAGACAAAAGATGGCGATTGGCATTGCATTTAAATTTTTGAAGATTGCTGGTGGTAGGAAAGCAAGAAATTGGAAGGGAGTTTTACATGTGAGACAAGGAAAGATTAGAATAGAATATACAGTTGCTTTTAAGTAGTTTAACAGTAACACAGTGAGAGCTAGTGGCCAATCTAGTAGCACATTTAAATTCATGCAGATGAGGCAGATTTGAACCTGGGTCTCATGGTTAGAAAGTACATATTCTAACCAATTGGGCATATATTTATATAGATATACATAACTGAAAAACAAAACATGTTTATTTGGTTGTTTTAAATTCTTTTACAGAAATTTGAGATGAGAAAATTAGAGAACTTACCTCTTTGTGTCCCTCATATGCTGCCATATGAAGTGGAGTCCATCCAGCATTATCGCGGTGCATTTCATCAAGGCCCCGATCCAAAAGTAGACCGACAACCTCAACACTTCCTTGAGCAGCAGCTATACTAAGTACAGTACGTCCCTCAGAGTCAATAGTGTCTACAGCTGCATTCCAGAATAATAGCTGACGTACCACTTTAGCATGTCCCATTGATGCAGCTGCTAATAATGGAGTTCTGTTGTTGTTATCTGAATGGTCAACGTCTGCATCCCATTCAAGAAGTAATTCGCAAACATCATGGTGACCTTCATAGGCAGCAACCAACAGTGGTGTCATTGAGTCGTGATCCCTGTGGTCTACTTTGGCATTTCGCATCAGTAACAAACTGACCACATTTTCATGCCCCTGACTGGCTGGAATACATAACGAGGCTACAGATAAGGCGGTTCTCCCATCACAATCCTCATGATTAATGTTAGCATTTTTGTCCAATAGGTGTTCTACAATTTCCACATGTCCCATATAGGCAGCGGCTATTAGTGCTGTACGTCCTTCATTATCAGCTTTGTTCACTTCAGCTCCATGTTCCAACAACTGACGGACAATATCTTCATGCCCACCCCATGCTGCTGCCCTCAAAGCAGTTCTTCCATCACTGTCACAGTGGTCTACTTCAGTGTCAGCTTCCAGGAGCAACGTTACAACTTCAGTATGACCTCCCCAAGCAGCTGATCTTAATGCTGTCCAGCCATCTTTGTCAGCGTGGTCAACTTTTGCATTGGCCTTTAGCAGGATCTCTACAACCCTTGTGTGTCCTTGGCGAGCAGCTAAATTCAGTGCTGTTTGTCCATTCCGATCAACAGCTTCCAAATTGGCATTTTTCGATAATAACATCTTGACCACTTGCTCATCACCTTGGTGAGCTGCATTATGTAATAACGTACGGCCATAATTGTCAGTTTCGTCAACAGGTGTGTCTTCTTCAAGGATACCACGGATTTTCTTGCTATAATTGTCAGTGTGGTCGTTTGCTGAATTTATTTCCATCATACTCCTCACCTGATGGTAAAAATAGACACAAAAGGAATTTGATAAATATTAGACTTAATAAATAATGCAGGAATGAAATATTATATACATATTTACACAAGAAACAAATCAATTTTTTATCTTTTATCAAACATAATTTTCTGGTTTATTGTAGGCATGGTGGAGTAATGAATAGCGGCTTGGATTGAGGAATCGGAGAGCCGAGTTTGAATTTCAGTTGAATCCATTATATTCACTTATGTGCTAATACCCTTGGGAAAGGTGTGAATCCTCTTCTTCTCCCTCCAGCTATGGGTAAATAACAGGACAGACTGGGTCCTATAGCCTTGGATGGCAACTGGTCTAAGAGAAGGAAAACTCTGAATTCAAAATCTGCAGAGGGTCATTTGGGGACCTTGTGGTACGTAGTGCACCAGGTCTCTGTAATCGGCCCTTCAAAAAGTGTGGATGGTCCTACATGAAACCTTCACCACTATAATCAAATCTCATGTGCTATACATGCGGGTTGGGGACCGCTTGTGAATTCCAAATTCCCATGAAACTCCAATATTGGAGCTGGATCAATCCACCTCGGGTGAATGCCTTTACAAGAACAAGAAGAAGAGAGAGGTTTATTGTATAAATTTTCTAGTACTAAATGTTTCTTTTTGTATATAAAAATTCCAGGTTAAATTTTTTTATCATGGTGTAAATTTTATGCATTCAAACATAACTGGTTTTCTGGTTAAATATGCTGATATTTTGAAGCATATATTGTAGAAAAATAGACTGTTTTTTACATGACGTACAGTAAATTTCACATTGTAAGAAAAGATATTATATATAAAAGATGTAATAAAATCACTTTACATGACATGTAGCAAAGTCACTGCATGAAAGACATGTAGCAAAAAGTCACTACACGGAAAACATAAAGCAAAAATTATTCTGCATGAAAGACATGTAAGAAAAGTTACTTGATGCAAAAGACATTAAAATATTACTCTACATGAAAGACCTGTAGAAAAATTCACTCTATATTACGTGAAATATTTATTTTAAATTTACCACATATTAAAAAGTATATGCAAAAATGATCAAATTTGAAAACCATTTAAAAGTACTATCAAACAAAAACTAAATGAGATATTCAAATATAAATTCAATTTTAAAATATCCAAATATACAACCATGTTCAATGATACATTTGAAAAAACTGGGCCACCAAACTATTCAACACAGTGCTACATGAGGATGATATAAAAACATTGAAATATCATGATTAAAATAAAGAAAAAGAGAAAGAGTGAGAAAGAAAGAGAGAGGTGTTTCAGTGAAATTATGAAAATCAATATTATTGATTTATTTTATAAGTGTGCAACCAATAAAACATAAAAGTATTAGTGAACTAAATTAGTTGCGATTGCTATGTATAACAGCAACTGCAGAAAATCTTGCAAAAGTTTTTAGAATAAATCCATTGGTAGAATGCTAAAAGTAATTGCCAAAAAATATCTACTTTCCTCTAAAAATAGCTGATGTTCCAGTTAGAAACTTCCTGTAAGGAAATTCTTTATAAGAACCAATTTTCTATAAGAGCACCAGAAATACAGACTCTCTGTTTGATAGGTGGTCAGTCAGTCTTTATTTCCATAAACTTCTCATAATTATTTGGAACCTGACTAAGAACAAGTATTGCATTTCTAAATGGAGAAAGTGTCAGAGATCAGTGTTCAAGCTCTGGTAAAATGCCAGAACTTCAAATGCTGATTTTAACAGTAGTTTATGAAGGAAGACTCTTTCCATTAGAATACTGGAACTACACCATCTTCCTATCCCATTCAAACCATCTGATATTGTGTTAAACAAAGCCTAACTTTGTAAATATCTATCAAGCTATGAAACTGTTGTGGCCTTGTTAGGGCCAGAAATAAAGACACAAGAAAGGAATTGAGTTAAACAAATATATTAACAAAAACAGTAATACAAACATACACAAATGAGAGTGTTACAGCAAGAATGCTCGGTCTGAATGTCAGAGCTGACTGCTGGAAACTTCCCCCTCCAAAAGGCAGTACCTGCTCCTATTTATAGCTGGGAGAGTCCATGTGTGCGTGGGTAAATTACCATAACAGAAACCAACTTTTTATTTTATTGTTGCTCTGGGTCCAAAAATCCCTTTTAAAGATTATGTAAGATTTATTTTATCTTTTGAAAAGGTTGTATAATTATAATCATCAAATATTATATACAAAAGTAATATCAATTTTGGGGCTGAAGGGTTGGTATGCCTGACAAGGACATAGGGGATGTGCTTCTGCTGGCCTAGAAAGTAGCTCAAAACACCTGATCCCCTCATGACCACATATCTCAACTTTGCTGTACAAACTCCCTCCCCCATGCATGTCCATTGTGACCCTGGCATCACTGATTTCGGTTGGGTATAGAAAGCAAATGTTTCAAGGTTTTAACTGAATCATTGCACAGATCACACTATCCTAAAGTGTATATACTTGTAGCTGAGTACCATTTGTAAATCCAAATTCCTAATGAAACTTCTACTATAAATTTGCATGTCCAAATCAATATAACATCTGCTACAGTGTCTGCAGGAACCAATTAAACCATTTTTGGATCAGTGCATGTTTGGAATTTGCAATTGGAACCAACTGGAGTTCTTACTAACTCAACTTCATCCAAATGCCAAGCTTGGTCAGCTTTTGTTTGGTAAATTTGTTTGATGGAACTGGCTCAACCAATCCTGGTTGAATGCCACAAGTACAAGTAAGAATAACAATTTTATATTCCCAGGGCCAGTGCAAGGGTTTCATGCTAACCCAGTCTATGATACAGGGTCTCCCACTGTACTACATCTCAATTTTCTAATGTAGTATTCATATAAAATACAAATTTTATTCTAATTTAATTATGCACAGTAATGGATCATATGCAATATTGGTGAACAATTCAACTAGAAAAATTGAAAATAAATACAATATATCTAAATACAAATTAGAAACATGTCAAGCAATCATTCCATCTTAAATAAACAATGTTTTACAGCAATTCTTACCATTAGCTTAAGATTTTTTTGTTAAAAAGTTGAATAATTTTAACACATTCAACAATATGGATAAGAAAAATTGAATTTTATAAAATATTTTTTGAGACTTAGCATGAGCAAAACAAATTCACAGATTTGGATGAAAAAACAAAAACCCTAGAATGACCTCAAAATCTGCAAAAAGTTTTCATCCTTTAATAGTCACTTGTGCTTAGTTTAATTTGTAATATAAATGCAGGTAGAATAAAAGCAAATGTTGATAAGATAGCAAGGGTCACAAAGCAGGCTTGAAGTTGGGGTAAGAAAGTTCAGGAGTAGTGCAACTTGGCCTTGCATATTCCTCTTACTAAGCTTTATATGTTTCAGGAATTTTAATCATGAAAGAAAATCTATGACAGAAGCAATTGCATTAAGAACAAGAAAATAGAAAATGGTTTGAACGAGTAAAAGATGTCAGAATGTTTCTACTGTTTTCAACATAAAAATCATGTGTAGGCAGAAAGACATCTTTGAGTAGACAGAAAGACATTTTTGTTTTCAAAATTAGTCAGGCTTAAGGCTTTTTGTGGCTCAGAAATAATGTTACCAATGTTTAACTATGATGGTTTAAAGTGAACATTTTTTAAAGACAATGAAACTATTTTGCACTTCTTGTGTAACAAGAAGTATTATCAAAGGATGGGGGAGTGGAACAATTTGTATGGTTTTTAAAAATTATGTTAATATATATTTTAAAAAATACAGAATTTGTAAGTCATGAAGAAAAAAGTAAAATTTCATGTTGATGAATGAAATTTTTTCTTTCTTCCTTTCTTACTTTCTTTTTTAGATTCACTGTCTCAGCCTTTCTTTCTTTTTTAGATTTACTGTTTCTCTCTTTCTCTCTTTCTTAGCTTCATTCTTTCAGCCTTCCTTTCTTAGCTTCACCCTCTCAGTGTTTCTTTCTTTCTTTCTTTCTTTGCTTCACCCTCTCAGACTTTCTTTCTTAGCTCTACTCTCTCAGCCTTTCTTTCTTTCTTTCTTTCTTTCTTTCTTTCTTTCTTTCTTTCTTTCTTTCTTTCATAGCTTCACTGTCTCAATCTTTCTTCTTTTCTTCAGTGAGTGAGAATGTCCTTTGAGAACATGAGCAATTATGACTCTTCACAACTTCCCATCCTTTGTAGCACTTAATAAGGTTTGTCTTTTTCACTATCTACTTGCATAAGATTGTTAGGTAGGTTACTCCCTGCTTCCCTCTCACCTTCAATGTGTCCTGTGAGTGTCAAATTTGCTAAATCCACTTTTCTCATTATGTGTCCCAGAGATTTCCTGATTCTAAGTATAAGCATCCTTTTGGTTCCCATTTTTTTCATTACTCACTTGTTCCATACATGGTATTTTCATCAGCCTTATGTAGAATCAGATCTTTCTTGCCTGAAGTTTTTTCTTCATAGTCTGAGGTATTATGTACATTATTTACATTATTCGGACTATTGTCCTCATCTTTGTCACCATATTTATCACAATGTTTCGGCTGTTCAGGTGGTTGGAATTTCGAACTGAACCCTTTATTTCGCTCATCACTGTTCTAGTTCCACGTGCCATGTTTGATGGATGTCAGTTATCAGTTATCCTGCTAATTTTCCCTCTGAAAGTTCTCCACTGCCTTAACTTAAACTCACACTCTTTGGGTCCTGTCACTGGATCTAACCAATGCCTTTATTCACTGTGCCATGTGTCCTTGAGGACATCTGGGTATGAATTTTTGGGTATTATAAACCTAATGTCTTCAGTAACCATTTTTACCAGTGCTCATATTGCAATTTTGCTGTTATCATTGCATGTTTTTACCAGAGCTCATAGTGCAACTTTGTTGCTATCATTGCTTTTCTCTGGCACTCCTTATTACTGGTTCCCATATTGTATTTATTTCTATGCTTGGTTGGCTCAGGAGATTTCTTTTCTTCATCTGTGAGGA